TATATTTCTATAATATGAGGCATTAAGATCCTTTGGATGTTCTTTTTTGATGCAGCTGTTTTATTTTTTATTTCATTTTTTTTTTTGGGAAACGCTCCTGTGAATACTGTTGACTTTTCTTCACAGGACATTTCAATTAGTGGGACAGCAGGACAGAAGACGAAATCAGGACGTCTGGAAAATGTAGTACCAAATGTGCCAAATCAACCTTCAAAACAAGCTCAGTGAAGTGGAGATGAATCCGTTCATGTTCATAGTACGCAAACTAAACAGTCTGATTTTGAAGTCCAAACACAAACTCCTTCCCTTTTTGTTTATGGCTTCATCCTTAAGATGGCTCCTCTCATTTTCATAATTCTGTTTTCAAGAAGTTAGTCTGAAATTATATAAAACAGAAAAAAAAACACTCGGAATGCCACCACAGCTTATTTTACCCATAAATGTAACATATTGCACTCATAAAAAAATATTAAGCAGCTGGAAACCTTAGCTTAATCCGTCAGTTTTCAGGGATGGCAACATGAACCTCCAGGTAAAATTCTTATGCACAGAGCAATCGGTGCCTTAGCCTTGCTTAGAGAGACACAGGCAGTATTAGGTCCTCACAAAGGAAAAGAAAACAGCTTGCATGTCTGCAACAGCTTAGAATGATTCATGCACGCACAGACACTGGGTAATCAGAATTGCTCACCTGGAGGGGAAATGCTGCAGCTTTTTCTGCATGAAATATTCAAAAGTTTCCCCTCCTCCAAAAAATAAAATAAAAAGATCCCTTTCTCCTGGCAAAATTAGGTTCAACCCCTTAAGCCTGGCGGGCCCGGTACAAGGCCCAACTGACGCCTGCTCATGTTTATTTAATTATAGAAATAGCCAAAACAAAAGCACATGGAGTTTAATCCACACGCCTTTCAAATGAGGCTTTAAAATTTCTAAAACAGGTTTCAAAATTTTTCACAAAGTACTTTTTGTTTTATTCCTGTGAAAACAAATCAAATGAGATTTAAAATTCTACCTGACATGTATGACTCTGCATGAGTAATACAACAGAAGGTATTTATTTTTAGCCCCTACTGGCCAGCATCATTGGAAACGGGTCCCTGATGACCCCTCCTTGGAAAGGTCTGAGCCTTTTGTAATTGTGCGGTCATTTCAGGTGATGTAACCTGAAAATTAAAATTTCATTGAAACAACGCTTAAATCTTTGGAACAAAAGGCTTTGTCTTTTTCAGAAGGTCTTCAATAATATAAATTAACATAATTGTCTTGCGAGATTTCCCTCTATGAGAGGAAAAATGCATTTTTGCACTTTGGGAATGTGTCAAAATCACATTTTTGCCTAGCACACTGTCCACTAAAACCTTTGTGAAACAAACATGCTTCAACTTATTGAGTCTAAATTTGCTTGAGTTATAAGTCAAGATGTGGATCTATAAAGTTTTGTAGTGTTTATTTTGGGAAATAATTTGGCGAGGCTAAATATTTTTTATTTTTTCATTGTTTAATTACTTATAAATCAGACATGGTGACATTTAAAATAGTGTTTCCACCTGAAAAATATTCCTCAATGTCTTTCTGTCATACAAATACAAACTACTGTATTTCCAATTTATAGTTTGGGAGCTGTATTTGCTTTAATTCACATATGTAAATTAAGGAGCAATTTGCTCCTAAGACCCCTTTGGACTTAAAGTGATACTGGTCAATTTCCTCTTACTGAAATTATTAACGTTTTTAAAGATGCACATCCAGAGTTTCAACTTGAACAGATAGGGGACCGGTGGAGGTAGCTCAGCATTAGTGCATCGGCATTTGGCAAGAATTCAATTCAACCTGAGTCTTTAACCCTCCCCACACCCCCAAAAAACCAAGAATGGTATTAACGCATCTTATATCCAGGATCAATACTCCCTTATGTTGATTGTGGTGAAAAAAATACAGGTTTATTTGAAAAGATTAACTCGGTAATGTGAAGACAGTATGAACATTCTTGGTCATCATTATATGTGTAATGATTTTGCTGTGGAAACTGAATACCTGCACACACAAAAAAGATTATTTTGCCATCTGTGTGAGCCTATTGAAGTGTTTTACAGGAAAGCTTCTCTGCAAGGTTACCTACAAATTTTAAACTAATGTTGGTGTAAAGATCTTGCATAAATAAACACAGAACTGGATAAAAAGGGAAGGACACACATCTCAGTTGTGTGGTGTGCACAACAAAAGGGAGCCTGGGTTTTTGAGAGAAGATGAAGATTAAAAAGATGAAAAAAAAAGAAAAAAAAGAGAACTTGGCAAACATTGACATCCAGCTGTGCAGTAGAGAATCAATTTTTAAAAACCCAAACCAAACTACAGCTAAATCAAACCATTCACAGAAAAGAAAAGCAGAATCAAGAATAGTCAACACAGAGCATGAGTATATTTATATCTATATATATATATATATATCTTCATTTATTTTAATATTTAAATCCACTAAAAGTTGTAAATACAACTTTTCAATGAAAGGCACAGGAAAAAATCAGACAATGCTGATATAACACTCAAAGAAAAATACAGTACAAAAGTGGACAGTTAGTTACACATGAACAAATCCCTCAAAATTCAGCATTTCCATAGTTAAATATATGGAGTCATGGGGAAACAAAAACATAGCTGTCACAATGAATGCAGTAGAAACAAAAGGAAGAAAAAAAAAATCCAAACTGGTCTTTATTGCTTTTCCTAGCTGGCAAAAACACATCAGTCTAACATGTCAGCTTTTCCATCAAACAAAAGATCCACTTTATTTCTCTACTTACTTTAGTCTTTGTTAAACCCCCACTAGGTATTCAATATCCTACTTATGACTTTAAAAGAATGAAAAAGAGAAAAAAAGGATTTAGAGGCCTTTTTTTTTTTTTAAACCGAGTTGTTGTGATGAACGTGTCCCATAAACCAAGAGCAAAATGACCCACTATTTGTGAATATGCTTTTAATTTGTTGGTCCACTGAGTGTAAAATCATCTCCAACCTCTAAGTGGTACAGAGCATTTAAATATTTAACAGGGAGATTTCTGAACTGCAAAATTCAAAAACTGCAGGTCTGGAAGCTGCTTCCGTTACAGGAAAGTCATTTCATAGATTTCTCTGTTCCCTTTTTTTTTATTATTCCCATTGACCTGACAGAGGTTATAGTGTTGAGCACACTTGGAGAAGTCTGACAATAGGATTCATTCATCAAATCAAGATAAAAAAGGGAAAGAAAAGAATGAGGATTAATCATGTCCTCTGGTTCTTTTAGACTCACTTCATTTTCTCTTTTAAATTAAGTGTTTTTTATGACACTGATGGAGAAAAAAGTGTTTAACAGATCATTTATCAATCCTGCTAGAGGCCTACAAAGTAAAGGGAATCATTCAAAACAGTCCTGGCGGATGATTTTTAGTGGAACAAAAAATATCTATATTCAGTCTGTTCTTCAGAGTGCAGACCAACCGAATGAAAAACAGTGGTCTCTTATTACAAATAGCCTCTTTGGTCTCACATCTGCATTAAGGGACTTCAGCAGTCCAATTATCGCAGTTTTCTATGAGCAGCTGTCTCACCCTTTCTGATTCCTATAAAAAAAGAAAGAAAAAAAAAGATCCACACACAAGAAAAAAGAAAAAAAAATGATTGCCACATTTCTGAAACCTGAAAACAGTGATTGGAAAACATAAAAGTTTGCATCTCAATAAGTTTTACATCATCAGAAAGTTATTTTTTTTTCAGTAATACTGTTCAAAACAAGGATTCATAGCAAAATTACAGATTTAGAGCTTTTGTTTTCATAAATTTGGACAATTATAGCTTAGAGCTTATGAGAAAGATGAGATCTAAGAGGGGGGAGGAAAAAGTGGTAAATTCATTGAGCAAGTACGAAATTTCTGCCAAATTTAGACGAAAATACAGAAGCATAATAGCTAATTAATTTATAGGGTGAGCTACAAAGGTAATTGCAAAAGCCTATTTCCAAAGTTCTGTAACCAAACACAATGGAAAGTTAATGGATGGAAAAAGGGTCGTCAAGAGTTTTAGGGAATTTTACAGACAGACAACAGCTGGAAACGCTTCTTTTAGAAAAGACACGCACATACGTGTCCTGGGTAAGGGATTTAATAATTCCCTGTATTTAGCTACTTACTAAAGGAAAAAGGGACTGGGTTTTGTGTTGTGATCTCAGCTTTGGATGGAAGAATATTTTGCACAGGAGAGTCAGAAAGCTGATAAGCTGAAGGGTTTCATAAAGCAATCAGACTTCTAGCGGATCATCTCCATGACGCACAGAGTTGATGTAGCAATTCATATTTAGTTGTGTATTTAAGTACTAAATGCAGAAGTATACATCATATACAGATACATTTAGTCTAATTTCATATTCTATAAAAATTAAAATCAAATCTAAAGTTACAATACCAAATATGTGCGTGTTTTTTTGAACTGTATAACAGAAAAAAAAAAAAACCCTTTTTGATGATTTTTAATGATTATCGAGATGCATTTCTACATGAAATGAGTAGCTGTCAAGTTATTCTAATTCCTCTGATATCCATAAACTTCCAACCTGCTTATTCTCTCCCTTGGCCTTGCCTGCTACCCCGCAGCAGGTGATGCTACTTCCACCTTTCAGGCAGCAATGCTACAGAAAATTAAGAGCCAGAAACACAGCAAAACATAAACATGGCTCAAATGACTACAATTCAGTCCAAAGCAGATCAACCCTTCCAGAAATTAAATAAAACTCAGTACTATAACTGAAACAGATGTTAACATTTCTAACGGCATAAAGCGAAGAAACTGAGGCAATAAAGAGGAAAATGATCATCTGGGCTGTGTGATGCGACTGCTGCCGTTAGCCTGGCTCCAATGACAGATGTGTTTACCGGAGCCCTTCCTTATCTCCGCTCCGGAGGTGGTAGCCCACCCTGAGAGCCCGAGAGGTCAACCTTGTAACCTCGCTGTCCTGGCTCAGGCAGGACTTTTTTTTTTTTTTTTTGCAGCGCCACACTCCTTTCATACAAAGGAGAAAAGTCAAGGTAAAAGCTGGGGCTTTAACAGGGTTTGATTTCAACACTTTCTTCCTGCTCCAAAGCGCAAAGGAGCAAATGACATCATGAACAAGGAACAACAGGTCAAGAGTCCAGATAGAGAGTACAAAATTATGTCTCAAATCATCAGGCTAACGCCGACCCCATGCATTACCTTGCCATGGCAGAGGAGGAGGCAGCAGCTAACCGTGTGAGGTATTCGCGCAATTCCTTTGCCGCCTGGAAGCGGCCGTATCGCTTTTTGGGTTTGGTGCACTCGTCCAACAAAGCCTCGAGTTGTCCATCTTTGGCTATGTGAGCAGGCGGGTTGTGAAGGAGGCCTCCGGTGGTTCCCCGCCACGTGGCGTACTGCGACAGCAGGTTCTGACACACGGCATAGTAGTTGTGGTCCACAGTGACCCGGGAACAGAGGGCCTCCTTGGAGAAAGAAAGGCAGGCCTCCCTGTCGCACTCCTCGAAGCGGCTCTCATACCACACGTCGTAGTTCTCCGGCTTGTCTGTAGGGGGAAACAGAATCTCAATTACACAGAGGTAAAACAATCTTTAATCCCCTCCCCCCCTTCTTTTTTTAACATAGACTTGAGCAGATTTCTATTTCAGGAGTTTTAAATGGTCTTTTTAAAACTGAAACGTGAACCAGTGGTTTTAAATGAAAACAAATGGAAAAGGAGCAGAGTTTTCCAATGTGTGCAACCTCCATTTCACTAGGTTTCTCCAGGAACAACTAAATTAAAGGTCAAAACTTATACTTCACCCTTTGAGATGAATTTATTTCACAATGCTATGTAATACCTGATTAAAATGCATTTTAGCAGCAGCTAAAAGACATGCTGCTTTTCAACTTAGGCCCCCTGCACATGTTTTTCTTTCTTCAAATGTGCTGGCTGTATAATATTGACATTTTTATTTTATCTTTTTTTTTTTTAAAGGTACAGCACAAAGGAGAGCTTTTGGTTGATTTTTGTTTAGTTTTCATCTGCTGAGGTTCCTCTCCTCCTGGCGTTAGTAACCATGGCGACAATGGCCAGACACACCTGGTTTGATCAGTACATCCAGTAATAAAAGACAGGAAACAAACAAGCTGTCTTAAGTAGTTAATTATGCTTAGAGTCTATTCTGATTTCATTCCAAGAACTATTATAATAGCAAATGTCATTGTAGTGAATTGTGCAATACAAATAAACTTGCATTGCCTTAAACATTTTAAATGAGATTAGCGTCATATTATTTATTAACATCACTACCACTACATAAACAGAACTCACTGTTTTTTATTCCATAAAATCCTCATGCTAAGATAAAAAAAAGCATATTTTATGAAAGAGACTGAAAGCCTAAAATTACCAGAAGCCTACTTTTCTGTACTCCTGCTGTCTGGTGAAAGCTTTGTTCTCTCTTGCTGGATAAGTGGAAGGGAAAAAAATCATCTAATTTTCAATGTCAAACATAGATTAATTTAAAATATGTTAAACCTATGTTTCCACAAGGATTACTTAAAACGGTTAGCTGGTTCAGTAACTGCAACCAAACTAAATCATCCAAGTGCGCTGCTGTTAGCATGATTTGATGCTGCTTATGGGTACTAGCTGATCAGAAAAGTATTTGATTTTTTCCTCCTAAAAAGAAAAAAAAGTTCTGTGGCTATTGTGGTATTTACTGTATGTCAAGTAGGAAGAAAGCAGAGGTAAAAAATGAAACAAATATCCTTGGAATGGGATTTAAATCACAGAAAAACAGTTTCAGACAACAGATCAAAGGCTAAGATTGTTGGGATAGGCACATAACAGGCACTTTTTATTTAAGCTTTAATCTAGGGCTGCAACTAATGATTATTTTGCAAATCGATTAATCTGTTGATTATTTTTTTGATTGATAATCCGATAGCCAAAGGTTCCTCAAAGAAGACTTTTTATGATATCAAACCAGGTGAAAACTAAAACGTTTCCACTTGAGGAACATATTTATGAACGAACAACTTTTTACCCTAAATGCAAAAGGTTTATATATATTTTTACCATTCCTGCTCTAAGTGGATTTTTCTGTGAGCTAAAGGCATGTTTTTAGGGTCTGTATACTCCAGTAAACGATTAATCAATTACTAAATTAGTTGATGATTATTTCAATAATGGATTAATCCGATTGTTTCAACTCTACTTTAATCAACTAGTTAGCAGTAATAGCGAATTAAACTGGACACTTTGTGAATCTACTCACCATCTTGATTTCGCTCTGAAACAAATAGTCTCAGCTTGACTCAAATTAGGGAAAAAGTTGGAAAATACATGGAAAGAAAAAGTTAACCCAGTGAATGCACTGAGTGAAAGTAAAACACCCTTCAATTGAGACTTTAAAACTAATATGTTGGCCTTTTCTTCAGGGTGCTACATTAAAAGGGTGAGACTTTAGCTGATGGCAAAATTGCTCTATTTTATCCTTTTAAATTTGGTTATGAATGTGTTCACTTCCCTAAGTGCACACATGCATTTATATTTACTTTAAATTTGTAAATGACTAATATAAGCTACCCAAAAAAAAGATCAAATAAATATTTAGTTAAGATAACAGAAAATAATCTAATGAAATAAGAAAGCAGATCATCATGTTTCCCCCACCTCCAAAATAAAATTAAACTGATTACTCGAGGTACAAAGTCAAGGAAAACATTTCAATTTAAATCCAAATTATCTTAAATTGATAATCAGTTGCAAAAAAAAAAAAAAAAAAAAAAAAAAAACAATTATAAGAATCTGACCTTTTAAAACGCCAAGTGGGTTTGAGGAATGGACCTCTAGGTTCCCAGTTTCATGGCTGTTTGAGGTTTTGTGCATTCATTAAAAAAATAAATTATATTAACAAAAATGTTTCAGCGTCTTTGTGTAGTTGGAGCCTTTATTCTTCATGGTTCATTTTTTTCAGGTATGCAAATCATACTGAGTTTATTTAAATAACCCAAGGAGTTAACCATACCAGGCGCTGAGAGGATCGAAAAAACTCTAAAAGCCTGCAGCCACTGTGAGAAACCCCCTTTTTTTAAAAAGCTCACCACCGAACAGCCGTCTACAGTTTCATTTGACAGAAATGAACCCTTTTACTTGATTTACAGAGCAAATAAAATTCTTTCCCCTGCTCATTTTATTTTCCTTTTTCATTCTCTTTAGAGAATTGAGTTAGGAAAGAAGGGAGGCAATAAAAAAAAACCCTGGAATGATGAGAGAGCTATTGGTTTGCGCATTAAAAGCAGATCAATAACACTGTTGGTAGACTGGAGGGGACCCAGAGGATGCAAACATATAATCAGTGCATCAGGCACTGTAATGCACTTCTCCTCTGGCTCATCAGAACAACTCAATCAAACGTCCAACGCTGGGCCGTTAGTGAGAAGAGGGGAACCCACTGTGGGCCCCCACCCCCGAAGAGGAGAGGCACATCAACCTCAATTTGTGTGGGTGATGAAGATGGATATATCTGTGCACCAACGCATATAAAGACGTACACGAAAAACGCAGCAAGGTGAGGTGAAAAGCAATTATTTGCCTTCGAAGCAGTCATGCGTCACACATCAGCACTGATTGACAGATGGCATCTGGAGAGTGTCCCGCTCTTCAGACACACACACACCCCCACAGATAGAGAAAGAATCCTCAGAAGGAAAAACAGGATATACTCAAGGACACATAAGGAATAAAGTATTTTTACATTTTGTTAGCTTGCAATCACCAACTTAAATGCATTGCACTGGGATTTTGGATTATATGCGGTGTAGTGCATACCTAATGTGTAAGGTGAATGGGGGGGAATGAAAAATCAATTCAAAAATCATAAAAAGTATTATTTTTTAATTTGTATTTACAGTGAATTTAGCTTTTAAGTATTAATCACTTAAATCCAAAAGGGATTCCAAAAAGCAAAAAATAAAAAAAAATAAAAAATTAAATTCAATATATACATATTTTTTTAATTGGAGGTCTCTTGTGTTACATTCAATTTCAGTACAAAATACTGCTGTCCTGTGAAAGCTTCAGTGGACAGATAATCTACAAAAATCAAGAAATAAAGCAGAAAGGTTTAAAGAGAAATGTCAAGGACAGAGTCACTTGGGGAAGTTGCCATGGTAGTTCTATGGTGACTCTGGAGGAGCTGCAGAGATCCATATCTAAGCTGGGGTAAACTGCTGACAGGTAAACTATAACTGGTTTACATAAACATGTTGGTTTCTATGGAAGCAAGAAGAAAGGTAACATCCTCTTTGTGAAAGATGATGGTAGAAGTATGTTGTGCAAATGCTTTAGATTAGCAAGGAAGATTAACACAAATCCAGGTCAGACTTTCTTATTTTAAGAATGAAACCATGTTTTGTTTTTTTTTGTTAAAAAGTATCGACTAAAAGCTAATTTGCAAAAATCTGGTAAAGAGATACCAATAAAATAAAGCTTGATGTTTTACCTTGAAAAATGTATATTTCCAAGCCATGAATGCTTCTTGGAAGGTACCTGAACCTGTTTTTTTTTTCTACCTGCTGGTATGTGTAGATTTACAAAACAAATGAAATCATTTTCAATTCAAATCAGCGGCAGCATCAGACGTAGTATGACCATCTAGCATCGTGTCCTTGCGTTTTTTGTACCTTCCATGTTAAAGAGCTCAGTCAGGCCTTTATTGCATTCCTCTCACTTCCTTTAGCTTCACAAGGTTGCACAGAGTTGGGAGGCATGTACTGAGACCTCGTTAGCAAAGCCTTACCATTGAGCTAAGAGAGAAAGGTCGCATATTTTGGAAGCAAGAGGAAGAGAAAAGTGCATATGTGCCGAGGACAATGAGTGACATGAGTGTTGCCCAACCATCCAGAGACGCTATGAGCTCAGCCATGAGGAAATCACTCGTTTCGCACGGCTGGGCTGTGCAGACAAAAGGGCACAGCACTCCGTCTTCAGAATCCCACATGCATCAATATGGATGGTTCTAATAAGAGGGCGGAACGACGTGTTGCTTTCCGCACGTCTGATTTACAAATCGATGGGTTTCAGTTTGGAACGGTGATTCTATCGTCACATGTTTTAGCTAACTTTCCCAGCTCAGGCTTTAATTGTAGGGATTGGATCCTCTATTACCACAGCCAGGGAAGTTGCTGCGCCTGTTTCCTACTGATCTTCGTCACAGGGCCGTGACCTAGTAATGCTTATTACTGCCATGATCCCCCCCCTTCTTCTTCTTCCTCCTGCTGCGCCGCAGCTTTTTGGCACACGCACACAAACAGATCCAGGCGCACAAACATGCAGGAAGCAAATAAACTCAAGGCTTAAGCTCTGAAAGGCCAGGGGTAAGCAGCTTGAGTTGTCAGACTCTAAATGTGTCGGGCCAGACAAAGGGAGTATCAACCTGGATTGTGCTCCAGGACTGGCAAAGGGCTTCGGTGACAGGCTGGAAAATTGCAGCTCTTGGCATTAAGATAAATACACACTTCTGAGGAAAGCAAATACACAAACACACATAAGCATTATAGCATAGAAATTAAGCAGAAAAATCAAGCGAACGACTGCAGTGATGTTTGAATTCCTTCACAGGTTCTGCTTTACACTTTGTGGTTCCCTGGAGTTGAAGCTTGTAATTTGGCAAAACGGCACTTTATCCCAAGATAAATGTATCAGACTGCTTCCATTATGTGTATAAAAATGGAAACATGCTCCTTTTGCTTACAAGCCATATCTCATATCTGTCAAAGTGAACAATGCTGAAACCTCAACACCTAGCAACACAATAGTTTATCAATCTAATAGGATTTCAGCACAAGGGGGACAAATGCAAGTACTGGAGGAGGTGGCCGTTGCTCTCTCTGAAGTGGCCCCTGGAAGGAAGACTGAAGGGAGGCGAGCGGCAGTGCTCAGCCTGTGATGTATAGCTTTCCTGGACCTTTTTATGTTTTTTTTTTAAAGAGGAAAAAATCTAGGGCAGCAGAGATGGCTCGTTATCCGAACAATCTTAGCTTTGATGGGGATGCATGCGTAGAGGCAGAAGGGGTGCTGGATGAGTATATTCTTAGAAGAGGGGAGACTTCCTGCATATGGAAATTCTCAAGAGGCCGTTCCTATAACATTCAGTGCTTCCTCATTCCCCATTTCATCTCCGCCCAATCCAAACTACATCCAACTTCATGTCATGTTCACGCTGAGGAGCTGAGATGGATGAAACAAGTGGATGAGGAGTGATGTGATGGTCAAAACCAGTGTAATGTCTTTAGATTACAGATTACCAGAAAAGTACAATAATTTACGATGGTGCGTGTTATGTGATCTGTACGAGGATGTGTCCAGCTCTGTCACAATGAAAAAATTTAACCGTTGATAAATTGGGGTGATTATGAGAGATTTGCAGGCTAACAAACGCCTGAAAAAGAATCAAGGTGGCACAGTTATACAGTGGTCTGCAAAAGTTTGGGCAACCTTGTTAATTTCCATGATTTTCCTTCATAAATCGTTGGTTCTTAGGATAAAAAAAAATCAGTTAAATATATCATATGGTAGACAAACACAGTGATATTTGAGAAGTGAAACGAAGTTTATACCATTTACAGGAAGTGTGCAATAATTGTTTTAACAAAATTAGGCATGTGCAAAAATGTGGGCATTGTTGTCATTTTACTAATTTAAAAATCTCTAGAACCAATTATTGGAAATCAAAATTGGTTTGGGAAGCTCAGTGACCCTTGACCTACATACACAGGTGAACACAAATATAAGAGAGTATTTAAGGGGGGGCAATTGTAAGTTTCCCTCCTCTGTGAATCTTCTCTGAAGAGTAGCGACATGGGAGTCTCAAAACAACTGTCACATGACCTGAAAACAAAAATTGTTCACCATCATGAATTAGGGGAAGGATACCGATGCCGGGTTCCTTTTCGAATAAGGTGCTGTGGACTGATGAAACTAAAATTGAGTTATTTGGACATAACAAGGGGCGTCATGCATGGAGGAAAAACAACACAGCATTCCTAGAAAAACACCTGCTGCCTACAGTAAATTTTGGTGGTGGTTCCATCCTGCTGTGGGCCTGTGTGGCCAGTGCAGAGACTGGGAATCTTGTTAAAGTTGAGGGATGCATGGATTCCACCAAATATCAACAGATTCTGGAGACCAATGTCCAGGAATCATTGACAAGGCTGAAGCTGCGCCGGGGCTGGATCTTTCAACAGGACAATGACCCTAAACACTGCTCAAAATCTACTAAGGCATTCATGCAGAGGAACAAGTACAACGTTCTGGAATGGCCATCTCAGTCCCCAGACCTGAATATTATTGAAAATCTGTGGTGTGACTTAAAGAGAGCTGTCCATGCTCGGAAACCATCAAACCTGAATGAATTAGAGGTGTTTTGTAAAGAGGAATGGTCCAAAATACCTCCAACCAGACTCTCATAGGAAGCTATAGGAAGCGTTTAGAAGCTGTTATTTCTGCAAAAGGGGGATCTACTAAATATTGAGTTATTTTTTTTGATTGTGGTGCCCAAATTTATGCACATGCCTAATTTTGTTTAAACAATTATTGCACACTTCCTGTAAATGGTATAAACTTCGTTTCACTTCTCAAATATCACTGTGTTTGTCTCCTATATGATATACTGATTTTTTTTATCCTAAGAACCAACGATTTATGAAGGAAAATCATGGAAATTAACAAGGTTGCCCAAACCTTTGCAGACCAGTGTATATCAAATGAAACTAATCTCTAAAGTTCTTTTCTGTAATCTGACATACTTGTTTAGTTTGAGAAGCATTTGATAAGCTTTTTGTTAGAGATCTAACTGGAACTGAGACAAACCTGAATGGAGTAAGACCCTAGGATCACCTGGCTCTCAGGGTAGGTAAAACAAAAGATTAAAAACTGTTAAAGAACAAAGAACTGAAACCATATAGATCATATCTGCACGTGCACAGATTCTTTAGCGAAGCCAGAAAAACACCTTTCAGTCATCATCATCTACCCAAATACGTAGTTTGCTAAACTATTCGGACTGAGAGGAACATGTCACTTTGTTAAGATAAAGCTAAAATTGAGCTTTTTTAGCAACAAGAATTAGAATCTGGTGTGAAAGAAAGACTATGTAGAATAGCACCATATAATGGTAAGTATGTTGGAGGGCCTATGATGCTGTGGGCATGTTTCTCGTTTAATGGACCCAGAAATACCTCTTAAGTACCAGGAGAATTTTAAGAAGTGTAATGGAGTCTCTTTCCACAACACGAGTTAAACTCCTTTGTCTTCCAATGGCATTTTTTCACCTGAAGAAATAACAGAAGGGATTTTTTCTGTCTGAGGAAATGCTAGTGAAATGAATAGCAGCTTCTTTCTTCTTCTTCGTTTTGCACATCTTTGTCAGGGGTGCATATTGGAAGCTGGTCACAGACAAAAGAAATGGAAAAAAGTAGCTAAGTAATTATAAATGATAATTCAATGACATTTACCTTGCTTTATCTGTCTTTTGTCTGCAACCAGGACATTTTCGGCGTCAACAATGATGACTTTTCCGTCCCGGGGGCCGACTGCAAAGTTATCAAAGCTGACATCCAGCAGGTAGAGGGCAAAGTCAAAGTCATTGTTGGTGAGCTGCTCTGCAATGTCCATCAGCTGCCGCGCCAGGTCAACCCTCTTCTCCCATGGTGCATTGTAGAAGCTCCACAGCTCCTCGCCCACGTAGTTGACAGCTACCATGCGCCCACACGCTCCCAGGTACTTGGCGAACGGCCACCCTTCATCCGATGGAAAGCTCTGGGAAGGAAAATGAGGATAAAATATGTCAGGCGGTGAAAATCGAATAACAAATACTCTAGTGGCTGTGAAAGGCAAAGGCTAACACATGAATTGTGGAGACAGTCACCGTGTCAGAGAACAGACTTTTAATTTGCTCTGAAATCAGTTCCTGAATCCAGAGAAAAAGATGAAAGGGAAGGAAAGAAAAAAAATACAAGAAGCTGATGCAGCCTTAGGTAATTTCTGATAAATTATTTGAAACACAATAGCTGAAAATCAGCCAGAGAATCACGTGAAACAGAGCCAGCTTGGGGTAGAACGGATTAAATTTAATAAAAGCAAAGAGCCAGTTTGCGTTTAAGCCCTCCAGCCACAAGCTGATGCTGGCTGCTTTGCTCTGTGCTTCCAGAAAGCTGATAGGAGGTGATTTGTGGCAGCAGCAGTTAGCAGGAAAGCCTTATGCTTTCTGATGCGACTGCGGGGCGTTTAAACGGCTTCGTGGTGCTGCTTAACCCGGTTAATACAGTTTGGGAATACTGACAGGAAATCACTTCAGATCAAGGGTTCAAACCGGTTCAAAACACCAAGATAAACAGTTCAGAAGCTTTTGTTCCATCGATGCTACAGCACAATTTTACCTCTTTTCTTTTTATTTTCTTGGTTCCTGCACTCCAACAAACATTAACCTGTCATTTATGATTTAAATGGAAGTAGGGATGTCTAAAATGAATATGGGGCAAACTAATTTTCATGAAAAAAAAAAAGAAAAGAAAATCTTGCTGCTATGAGACCACCATTCTGGCATCTTACAATTTTCCTTCCTTCTCCTTCTCTCCTTTGGATCCATTTCATTGTCACAGGCTGTCAAGGCAGTCAGACAAATCGATGGAAAATAACAGCCGGAATCCAACTTTTATGCAGACGCAAGATTTTTCACCACAAATGATAATAAGCTCCCATCATATAACATAAACTCTCCACCAGGGGCCTCCATCTTTCATAATAAACACCTGCCATATGTTTTGCTAATGACAACCCACAATTTCCATGTATTTTTTGCAGTATTCTTTTGGCATGTGTCCGACGCAGAAACCCAGCAGGAGAGGAAACCACTAGGACACTGCAGGTGTGAACTATTATGACTTCTGCATCCTTGTCAGCTCTCCGAGTAATTCAATATTTTACCAGCTTTCAATTTCTGCCAAGAGGCTGGGAGGGTTAAATATGCATGGCTGCTTCAACTACTTCTAAACTTTAATGGAATCCAAATTATTTACAGGCGGATGTGTTAACCACCCACTGCAACGCTCCCCACTGGGACCATAGAAGGTGTATCTCCAGGATAACAGATAGACCTGTACCGCATATAAACTACAGATCTAAGTAGGCTGAAGAACAGATTACTACTGTAGCTTCCTAAAGTAATCATACCCTATGAACCATTTGGTCATGTTACAAAATAAAATCTACATGCTTTTATTGGGATTTTAGATGATGTACTTAAAGAAAACTAAAAAGAAAAATCTAACCCAGGGTAACCAACTGCCTTCACACGTTAATTAGTAAACCCCACATTGGAAGGTAGACAACCTGAGTGTGGAAAAACTGAATATATTCTAGGTCTGGACGAGCAGTAAAGACCTCCCTGTTAAGACTGGTTCCCTCGGCAAGATTTAAAAAAAAGAATGGCTTTGGTGGTATAATAAGAAGAAATATATTGCCATGTGAACCCCCTTTGGAAGAATATTTCACAATTTGGAATTATTTAAAGCCATGCAAGCCATGAATATGAAATGCATGAATAAAAATTCTCAGGTGTATTCAAACTGCAGTTTTAGGCTTAGAGAATTCTGTCTGGTAACTAAAAGTAGCTATGGTTGAAGTCAGAGATCTGCACCAGGTTGGGTATCAAAGGGTATCTGTCGAGCCCCCCCCAATCCTGGTCCTGCTGCACTGCCGGTCTCCTGCCCACATGAACGACACCACCACATGTGAGCAGAAGTCAGCAGAGGCATAGAGAAACAGGCTATCCAAACTAATATGGAACAATAAGAACATTACATGTAACAAAATGAACCAATAAACAGAACCATAACACAGGGTCATTACAGTATTTTTCTAAGCAACGAGGCAAACCTTACTTTATGCAAATTTACAGCTGTTAATCAGTGGGCACAGCGCGTACTGGATGTGAGTGTAAGGCAATGTTCTTTACCGTCTCCGTTATTATAAATGGTTTTGTGTACACTTTGTGATCACAGGTCAAGTCGTACTTCATTATTTATGGGTCCGAGGGGTCCCGCTCGCTTCTTCCGGCTCAGATCAAGAGCCTTGGCAGACAGAGGTGCCGCACTTGCTGTGATTGGCTTAGCTATTTCATCCAGTCTAATTAGATGAAAAATTCTAATGGCTGTGTATTAGTAGCTACCTGATGTTTTGTAATCATATCTATTTAACCAGAAAAACTCCTCAGATTCATTCAGCCGGGAACAAAGCAATGCCCAATTGTTGTGTCACGTGACCAAATTAGCTAATTTCATTGGCTAAAAGCTGCATTGAGTGTAGATTGATTTGGCTTGAGTTCACCAAAAGGTCGACACATTTGCAGTTGAATTTTTTGCAGGCAATTTTTTTACCAGATATAAATTCAGTGTAAGGAATACGGTGTTAAAAATATTCAGTGTTTAAAATTTGGTGTACAGAAAAAGGCAGATTCCAATGACATTCCATATTCAACCCTTCAGCAGGACGACATTAAAGATACAGCAAGAGTAACAAATGAATCGTTCAGATCAGGGATCTCAAACCCAAGTCCTTGAGGGCTGGTATGCTGCAACTTAAAGATATCTCACTGCTCAGACAGACCTGAATAAAATGTCTCAATTACCTCCTCAGTTGAAGTCAAGCTCTCCAGAGTCCTGCAAAGAACCTAATTATTTGATACAGGTGTGTTAAAGCAGAGATGCATCAAAAACTGCACAACACGGGCCCTCAAGGACTTGATTCTGACATCCCTGGATAAGATCAAAGCATGGTCATGTGCTTGAAATGGCCAAGTGAAACACAAAAGCTCACTTCTATTCAATGTGATGGAGCTTGAAATAATATCCAAAGCTAAAAGGGCAATAAGGTCACTCCAGAATTGCAAATCTTGTGAAGTAATTGTGGTAAAATGTGGTAGACTGTGCAAGCTGTTCTGACTGTTATTGAGAAATGCTTCCTTTGAATCTTACTTCCACTACATTTATCCACTGCTTTGTGTTAGTCTATAAAATGAAATCCAAATAAAAAAAGACTGCAGCTTATTATTACAGCTTAAAAAAGGTGACAAAGTTCACAAGGATATGAATAATTTGAAAAGGAAAATCAGCAGTTGCATTTCAGAATCACAGACAAGCATAAAAGAATCTCACCTTAAGCAGCCCTCAGATTGTGCATTGCACAAATCTAAACCTAGCAACTCTTAAGGAAAAGCAAATAAAAGGGCCCTCAAGGGGCCGCTTAATGCAGCAACGACTCTTCGCACATCTAATCAAGCTTTTATAGATCATCACTGTTTATGCGTATTAATCTATAACCCCTTCTGACAGTTTAAAGAAAAGCGAGGAATGAACTGCGTGACGTATTGGTAGGATCCATTTCCCTAAGGTGATCCAATCAATTGTGGGTAAGACAAAAAGTCTGTCCACAAAGCAGTAGTTGCTTACTACAGCCTGTCTGTCTGCGCCTGTCACTTGGCTATGACTCACCAGAACTTCTCCAAATCATCTCACCCTATTACCCTTCCTCTAGATTTTCTAAGACAGAAAATGTGACAAGATGAAGATTCTGCAGTTTAAAAAAGAAAAAAAAAAATTATTTGGACGTTGCAAATAGTGGTTGGAGAGGAGACAATCATGTAAGCTTTCTCTCACAGGCGATTTAGGATTAGAAATGAGGCTAAACATCTAAAATGGCTTTCTATGTTCTAAAGTTGCTATAAAACGATTAAGCTGATGATGGATCATATGGTATATCCTTTTTAAGCCAATATGTCGTACTCTGACCCAAATTAAAACACTTCATTATGTATTTGTTGTGATCTCTGGAAATATTTTCAGCCCATCTACAGCTAAACACCAGCCTTCCTCCACAGAGCAGATAGATAAATAAGGGGCAGGTGGATGGAGGTAGTGGTTTGGGGGTGCGATGAGGAGAAAGAGAAACGGCTAACAGAGAAGACAAACAGAGCGTCTTTCACATCTCTGCCTCAGTAGACAGGAGGAGTAAACTGGCAAAGACCTGGCTGCTAAACACATCTCTCTCTTTGTTGTCAGATTGCAGGCCTGAATGGGAGCAAAAGTAAAGCGACAGCAGATTGGGTGGGGGGTGGGAGTGGGATGAATGCCCAGAGGCTACTTTCAGACACTGTCAACGGCTGTTATGAGAAGGCCTTCATGTCTGTCTGGCCGCCATCCTCAGCTCTCAACATGGTTGTTGGTCATTTACCCACGCTGGCAGGCCTGTTGCTTAGCGATCTACGTCTAAACTTGTACCTCTGCGCTGCTTTAACCAGCTTCATAAATCAAAACTTTTGAATGTAAAAAAAAAAAAAAAAAAGCTGCCTTAAGGAATGAACTACTGAACAGTGAATGCAGGCACATGGAAGAGCGCACCTGAGCACCCAGATTCAAGCCCTCCTATTGGGCAGGTTGATAAATACTGCACTCATTCTCCCTTAGCACTTCCTAAATGGTTATACTGCAGAAGTCATTAACGGCCGCAATGAGGCATTTTGAGGGAAGTACTGGTGGGGAGGGAGGTAGTATAGAAAAGGCCCAGCTTAATGTGACATCTTTTTTGCATCCATCTATAGGAAGGCCTAGGAAGTATAGACTGGGAAAGTGTGGTTGTGAATTTAGTCGTCTCTTGATGGTATTAAGCTTCTGAAAACTGCTGAGGGAACTAAAGTGCCAATGACATTCTTCTGGTTTAAAAGATCTTAAATTATCAGCTAAGGGGATTTTTTTTTTTTTATT